GCTCCGATATGAAATGCATCTTCTGTTCACATGTTTTACAGTCCGATGAAGCTTCGACTCCATCTGACCACTCTCATCAAGCACACCACAATCTTCTAAGTCCAGATGTCGCAAATCGGCCCCTTCCTCCGGTTCATGAAGAATCCCGGACATCCGAAAGACATTCACAAGACTCACACGGCGCCTACCAGTCGACCACACCTACACAGCCTCCATGGCCAGCAGGGTTCATGCCCGTTTCAGGGGAACCACCAGAACCGGGCTCCCAATATCCTCGCTCAAGAAGTCGAGGACCTGATGAGCATTACCAGATGTCGCCTATTCCTGAGGGTATCTCATACCCTGAACCGCCGATGCGTATTTCGTCGTCTCATGGACATCGTCACCCGCAAGAGTCTGAACGATCGAGCTCGCCGGCACCTCTGCAGAGACCGATATCATTGTTCTCTGACCAAGATGGGTGAAACAGACATAATTCCATTATTTTTTTTGTATTTGTAGAGTTTTGATTTTGACACATTCGCGCACTGTCCTTACACCATTGCCACATTATGAAACTTGTTTTTTCTTCCAAGCCAGCGACTTTTAGATGCGTTTGTTTTGTGTACAGCTTTGATCATTGGTAACTACCACCAAAGTATGATAGGGTGTTGGCTGAAGCACTGATGCACCGATGTGACTCGCCGGTGACTCCCTTCGACGTCAAGCAGATTATCCCGCGACAGTACTGATCGATGATCGAAGATGACTAGTGACTGATCGAGATAGAGGGTGTTTGGCTGTGCTCGGGCCAAGCTCGGGCACCTCAGCTGAAGCTGTCTTATTAGTAAGCCATCATAATTTCCGGTGGCACTGACGTTGCATCTTCATTTTAAACACCAAACACATGAAGACCCTTACAGCGTCCTAATTATGATGCTGTACCCGCCCTTATTTACGGAACACTGTTCTGTCTGATCCGTGGATGTTTAATGTGAGTCAATCATTTAAACGTTAGACAGACAGAGTCACTGTGATACGCACGCATTTATCCCTCAGTTCTGAAGATGACATCCGCGAAAAGCCTTTATTCAGACTCGAGTCAGACTCGTCCGAATTCACACCAGAACTCGTGCCTGTAGATAATGGAATCTTGCAAGATGCAGACTCTGCCGCGGGCGAACTTCTTGGAGTATAGGACTCCAAGAGTAGCTGGGCGCTGCGGATATGGACCCTGCCATCCGAGAAGCAAGGAATGTTTTTTCTTTCAAGTTGTCTTTTCTGATAATGGTGCTTGGCGTGCGCTCTGCATTGCAGGAGGCTGTGGCTGCTCAGGTCGTTCTTAATATCACTATTGAAATTGTGGAGTGCTCGTTGCACATGATGCGTGCTCAGGAGCTACAGAGGAACCCCCTATCCCAGAAGTCATCGCAATGCGCCATCGTGCTGGAATCTGGATACTCTCTGGAATTCTCGCGGGACAAACTGCGGACGGATCGAGATTGATGAGTTCTGTTTTTCTTCTTTTGTTTCACGGTCTCCCGGATCTTATTATAGCTCAAGGTTCAGCGTTCAACTGTAGCCTCCTGAAGCAAGATATGGAAGTTGTGATTCTATCTGCCCACACTCCTGAAGGCATTGGCAATTACTGCGGATCTCACGTCGATACTGGGCTCCACCTGCCTCGGAAAAAGTGGATCACAGCTTTGTCCTTGGCGCTGAAGATTTTTTGCGGCTCGTTCAGCCTCGGAATTTTGCTGGAGCAAGTTCACAGAATGTTACATAGCCCCACCCACAAGTTCGGACGCCAGTGGAAGACCTGTTGGGATCCTGAATACAATTCTTATTACTCAGCATCCGATATGTGCGTGAACAGTGATGCATGATGAGGCGTCCGTGCAAGATTGTTTTGTAGTTCAGCGCTAGTAACGCGTTCGCAACACGGAACCTCAGTGTGCACTAGTCCCCCTTGACAGATTATAGACGAATGAAGATACGTTTCTCATAAGTCTGAGTGTGCACGTTCGTTCATTGTTATTGACACGTCTAAAATATCCTCTTCAACAGCCTCGACTAGTGCTTGAATCGAGAGTCGGTTGTCAATACATACATTGAATTCATGTTTGGACCTAGTGGCCGGCATAGATTTCTTTGACCCGCTGCTAGGACCACCAAAGGCGCTGAGTAAAGCAAGTGCTCGACATCTGTCTCAAACTTACTCTCCGTGGATGGTGAGGCTTTCACGGGATGACGTGGGCATCTATGTGCGCTTATCCTGCTTTCAGCAATCCCGCAGCGAATACTGTACTGCAAGCATCCCGCATTTAGCGAGAACACACCATTGTACAGTGGTGAGAAATGTCCACAGTGCCAGTTGAATAATTTCTAGTTTCAACTATTGTCCACAACAATGCAGCCGATAGAGTCAATGGCGCTGTGAGCTCCACACCACAACTGAATACTACCCAGGCAAAAGACTTGAAGACCTATGGACTTGTGGATACGATTGGATATATAAAAAGGATCGTACAAATGACCGAGGGCTACCAACAACTCTTCATCATGCATAACGCTCTCAAAGTCAACGAGATCGTCTACTATATACTGCAACACGTCAAGTCCTCTAAGTCGGACTTGCGAAACATGGCGATGACCTGCTCCGCGTTCTCAAATCTCGCTCTCGACATGCTATGGTCTCAACAGGACAGTTTGACACCCCTCATCCAGTGTCTCCCGCGAGACACTTGGAATGTCTGGTGGGGTAACACTATGGTGAGTGATGTCTGCCACTTGAGTCTTGACAGGACGATGCTCACCGTACTCTTTGCAGGATTTTTCCCGCAAACCGCTACCCACGGAGTGGGAGCGTGTCCGGATCAATGCAGCAAGGATACGCGAGTTTATTCTTACGGAGTACACCTATCGTGCCCCAAAACCAACTGGCCAGGTCGTACAGCAACTTTTAGAGCTTTTCCCGCCTGCTGTGTTGTTCCCCCGACTGCGCACATTGCATTTCAACACAATATCTCGGCACTGGCTGGACTTCGGTCCAGAACTCTCGTTGCTTCGCCAGTTCCTCTCGCCTAGATTGGAACGCCTCACATTTAACATACTGCCCCGCGCTCCGATGCACGAGGTAGAGCAATTGTTTGATGCTATTTTTACTGAAGCGCCTGGCCTCCGGCAACTATCACTACACAGTACCCACAAGCTTTCGGCCTGTCCTTCCAAAGCACCTAAGCTGCCGAAGAAGCTGGATGTCCTGTCTATTGGCCCACTCCGCATGGATCTGATGAACCAGATCATTCCCGATATCCAGCATTTGCGCAGTCTCCAAACCCTTACACTGGCTTTGGGCAAATCAAGCGATATGGTATTCCAACCACCAGGTGGTATGCCACTTGAATTGAGTACGCTCAAACATCTCTATCTCACTGGCGCCCGCTTGGAAAATTGCACATCCTTCCTTCATAAAATTGCCATGCCACAGCTATCGGTCCTCGAAATCTCATATTACACAGCTACTGGACCAGCCGAAATCACCGCGGTCATCAAATCCTTATCTACGTCCTACAAAACATTTGCATTCCTTGAAAATATCATTGTGGTCGACTATTCGGAAAACCCCTCGGAGGAACTTGGGCCTGACGACCAACTTCATTCCTCTATCTTCCGGCCTTTGCTCCAGTTCAGGAGGCTGTCCAGTGTCAAATTTATTGACATTGGAAAATACTGCCTGGATGACGCGTTCGTCGAGGACGTTGCAGTTGCTTGGCCGGATCTTCGTACGTTGACATTCGCGTCAAACGTACCTGGTGAATATCAGGTCACCTTGACCTCGGTGCTTTCATTAGCCACCAGGTGCAAGTCGCTTCATGACCTGCACTTAACGTTCGATGCCACACATTTTCCGACACTTCCCCGTGCGCCGGATGGAAACCTGGAACTTTGGACCACGCAGACGACCCTCTGCAAACTGCATGTCGGAGAGTCGAAGGTGTCGGAAGCATCGCGTTTGCACCTCTTCCTAGTAGTGCTGTTTCCAAATCTAGCCGATCTCAAGTATTATCTCCATTTCGATGGTCTTTCGGCGTGGATAAAATTAGAAAAAGCATGGAGCGAACTGCTGATCGAGCGGGAAAACTCTTCAGGCGAGGCAGCTTCCTGGCCAAACACCCTACTGCAGCTACAGCCTTAGTCGGAGGAGGACGAAGTGGAAGATAAGGAATGGGAGAGGACAAGAATGACTTAATGTGCGGATCAATTATTAGGAGGTCTCAGTGTGACCCAGTCGAGGCTGTAGATGAAATAGTACGATATGTTAACTATTATGTACCTTTGTTCTATCAGCCTGCGTATGCCTGAAAGTAGTCAAAAAAATGTAAACCACGCTGTCGTTCGTTGTATTTATCTGTCTAATCACCGCTTCCGATGAAGTCCTATCGTTTCTGATACTACTAAGGTTATAGAATGCCATGGAACGTACACTTAGTGGTTTTAGAGCGTATATCACGGATGGACCTGTTGTCAAAACCGACCCTGCCATCCGAATAGTGATGCATAAGCACGAGAAGCGCGAACCTTCAAGCTTCAAGCATGATACATGATCGGATTTAAGTTTTCGCAGGTCTACAGTTCGAGCAGGACTGTTCGTTAAACGATCAAATCTGAGATGGGCGCAAGGGCAAGGAGTCAGAAAGAACACTGCATCAAAAAATACAGTACAATAAAAAGCTTCACAGAATACCTCTAATACAGAAGGAAATGTGCAAATACACTTCCCTCGCAGACGACAAAAAACCTACAAATACAACCTACAAAATTTTACTTCGGGTACCTATATATATGAATATAAAAAACTACCTCCGAAATGATAAAAAAAATCGCCGTGCCACCTTCTGTGTAGATATATCTGTTCGAGGATTCCTTGGTAGTGTCACATTCGATCTGTTTCCCTCTTATTCGTCCCTGTACTCACTTTGTCATCTTGGTTCTACTCCTAGATGCTCTGCACCAACGTTCTACCCAAATACATCGCCCCAAATACCCGATTCACACGGCCTCGCCACCCAGTGGTCAATACGGTCCGCGCGGCGCCACACCCACCCCGGGTGTAGCTGAACAGTGCGAAGTCCAGGACAAGTACGGTTCCATGCGATCTACGTGCATCGCATGATCAGTGCCTCCGGAACCACAATCAAAATATAACAAAACAGACGTACGATAAGTTCGCGAGTGTACTCGTCAAATGGCTCAGACGTTCGAGGTTCTTCAGACTCAGGATTAAACTTGCGTTGAGATTGGAAATGTAATCTAGACATTACCTTGCTCGTCCATAAAGTCTACGCTGACGTCTTGGGAGAAAGGCAGCTGCTGCAGGCTGAGAACACCCTCCATCAGCGTATCCGTGACTGTATCGATGTCATGCATGCTCTCGAAGTAAGTATCGCCGATACCAGGGGCGCCATATATCGTGTCGTCATCACGCTTCCTTGCCTCAAGGACACTTTGAGGGGGCGGGGGAAGAGGGATGCGGAAGATATGTGCAGATACGAGGTGCGGAAGAGCATACAGTGTACGCGAACCCATACCGAGTATAGTATCCTGAAAATGTGGGTCGGAGATGAGGAGGGAGAGAAGGAATAAGGGAAATGCAACGCACCTCGCTTGGACCTCCCCTTGCATACCTGACTTGTAACTTAGTTAAATTGGGAAAACGCGCGACAATGGCCAGCACAACTTCGTCATCCCAGTCCCCTATAAACAGGGAGAGCTCTTGTACCCTCGACAAGTGAGAGTGCGCTTCTACAAATACTTGGTAGAGTGACGTGAGCACAGCCTCGTCGCGGATATCAAGCTTGATGATGCTGCGTCCAGAGCAGATAGAAGAGATGGTAGATAAAGGTGCAGAAATAGCACAGAGGGCTGGAAGAGCCCTTGGTGATAATAAAAGGGCAGGAACGTGGTTTCGCAAGATGAGAGTGCGGAGGGAGGGAAGAGTCTCAAGGAATGAGATGAAGCCTGGCGGAACTCTGGAACGGTCTTTATGGATGGGGAACTTTATGTCGAGAGCAGTGAGTGGGGGAGGCGGGGAGGAAGGTGTGAAAACGCGATGTAACCAGACAGTGTGGTCATATGTAAGGGTGCGGATAGTGGGGACTTGTGCAAGCATTCGTAGACGGGTACGGGGATTGCGAGGATTAGTGTCATCATCATTAGATGGGAATACAGCGCGGATATCGAGGAGGGTGAGGGATTGAAGTCTCAGAGAAGTGTGGTCAACGTCTATATAGACACCAGTGAAGTGAACGGTGCAGTGCACGACTGCTAAATCACGCAAGTTTGGAAGGTCGCGCAGAATGGAGTGTAAATCTCGCGGGAGAAGCATACCACGGAAGACGAGCTGTCTGAGCGAGGTAAAAGACGTAACTTGAGTGAGGATATTTTCGTAGACGGTAGCGTCGGCAAGGAAGCGTGGTTGGTAGGCATCCTTGATTTGGAAGAAGCGATACCTGTTTGTTTGCCGGTTAAGGGGAATAGGTGTCCAGTCGTCAGCTTCCGCCAAGGAAACAACGGCAACAGCTTCTTTTAGCTGCTCCACGGGGCGCTCCACGATGGGGGATATACCAAGAAGAAGAGCGTGCGGTAAAGGCTGGATAGAAGACAGCGCCGAATACGCCGTTACAAACGATGTCGGAGACGTTAGAATCAGATGCTTGTAAAGAAAACGAATGGCGATTGCATGAAAGCGCTTCGAGGTTAAGACGACATTACGAAGCGACTGTGAAGGCAGATATTCGAAAATTGAAAGCCAGAGTTCATTTGGAAGCGACATTGAATAGATGACTGTCGACGAAAATGCAGCTGTAGATATCGATGGACAAAATCTTCATGCAAGATCCAAGGTATTTAGTTACAAGGTTACTTCGTATCACGTGACTGACCAATGTTTCACACTGGTTGCTGTCCACGCCGAGATATCGATAAAGACGTGCCGTCAAGTGAAATGCAAGTTCAAGAAGAGATGGAGGATAGTTGGAATATAAAACACGTGTCAGAGTAGTACTTATTTATACCTGGGGCCTATCAAAGGCGAGATGACGGTCAAAAGGATCAAGGAGCTGGCCAGAATACTTACAAGGTTCACTATAGGCATCAACCGGCAAAATATTGTGGCTGTGGTGTTCTGATCAGCCAAATAATTAAGTAATCATAGCCACTCACAACGGCCTTTTCTATAATATTGCACTGTGTAATGTCCTCCCGTCATGCATTCATTCGTGTTCTGCTCATGGGCTGTAACAGTGCAACCCCGTCCATTGACAGTTCATGGTGGGGCCTTGAAGTTGAGATTTGGTAAGGACTTGCTACGGAGGCCCCGCGGACAAGCCTTGGGTGATATTTCACTTAGTATCAAGGCGGACGAAGATCTCTACAAAACCGTCCTTTACATCACTATCGAAGGCAAGTTGATTCATCCAGAAACTTCAAGGCTCGCTGTAAAACGTTCTTGCTCATATATTTATCGCGATCATGGGCTGCCTCAGACTTTCCCAGCGAGTCTTCCGGAGAAAGCGAGACAATTTCATATGGACTATCAGCTGTGACCAATCGTTCGCCTAGCACACCCTTTTGGCGCACTTTTCCTAGCCCGACAGCATGATCGAGGGTGTAAAGAGTCGCTGAGGATTACAATATCATTGCAAGAATCGGGGACGTGATTTCTATCTCTGATGGATGTGAGGATGCTTCAGGTATTGTAGCAATAAGGATTTCTGATGCACTTTCATTCATATATTGACAGTACCGCTGGTAGGCATTTGTATCATACATTTGCCGACTTACGCCAAAAGCGAGCCCTAATAATTGTATCATCAAATCGTTGCTGCCAACTCACCAGCTGAGAAGGCGTTGTTATATCAATCATGGTTTGTCGATTGTACTCCGCCCGGACCGCCTGGCCTCCACGCGCAACAGGCTATCACTCAGGCGATAGCATCTGGTCTCAAGTATCGTGCACTAGTCTTTGGATCCATACGTGACCAGGATTGAAAAGACCTCGGTGCATGGCATTGTCCGTAGAGACTTATGTAATACCGGTAGGTTTCTTATCTGATGCAACACTACGCATGAAAGGAAAGATGACAAAATCATGTATCAAACCAATATACTCATTAATAACAACGAAAGTTTTGCCTTGCAGACTTTGGTCTTTCGATAACACTCTGAAGTACTTTGTGGGCAATAACCTTACTTCCCGCTGGCGGATGCCCTTCGCATGGTGGCGGCAATGTTGGGTGACAGAATCTCAGCCCTTCCGTCAACTCACTAGCGTTGACGATGGCCGTTTGAAACAGTATTGGCTCAAATGTCTGTCCACCAATTTCAATGCTCGACCTCAAGTCCAAGAAACCGTAGCGTTCATAAAAGTCGAGCCACAGAAGCTTCGATTGCAAGTAATTCTAATCAACGGCTTGCCATACAGTCTTTGTCTGTGTCGATTCACGACGTCTCATACCCCTTCAGTCACCTTTGTGATTGTTACACGAAGTTCGTGTTCGTATCGATGATTATCGATTATCTTCCTAAAGCACTCACGTCTACCAAGTGTTATAACCAGTACATTGACAATCGTCCGAGTAGATTATACACAGAAAATCAACGTTTCAACAATTAACCTACATAGAAGATGTATAACCTACAATATTTATGTATTTGCGAGACAAACTGACGATGCCGTTTCACGGTGAATGACCATGTCAGCGCCGAAATAAACACCAAGTTCAACCTTGTTTCCATATTTTCATTCCTTCATCCCAATACCCTTTTCATCTCGATTGCCAGTTCTGCCCCCGCGCATTCCGAATTAATAATCTCATATTCAAATATGCGTGATTATAATCGGGGATAGCGACCTGGATGGCCTAAGTGATATCCAGCCAGTGTCGCGTGCTTTTGATTCAGTATTTTTTATGATATCTGTGAGTAACCTCGCGTCGCAAGGTGGCGATTCGAAAACATCGCCAAAAATGCCTGATTCGCACGGCCTCGCAACCCAGGAGTCAGTAGGGTCCGCGCGCCGCCACACCCACCCCGGGTGCAGTTGAACAGTGCGAAGTCCGGGACAAGCACGGTTCCAAGCGATCTATGCAAATGATGGACAAGATCAGAACAGCCAAAACTGTGCGGATACAACATAGTAGACGTACGACAAGTTCACGAGTATAATCGTCGAACGGTTCCGTCTCCGGCACTTGGGGCTCTTCGAACTCCGGTTCATCGACAAATTGGTCAAGATGTTCCTGCTGCTCAGCAACTTTGCACTTTTGGCACGACGACACGATGGGAGTCCCGTGGCAACAACACACGGTGTATGTAACCATGTCCATGTCTATGTCTTGATAGACGGCAGTAAGTCTATTGTCAGAGTTGCGAGCGTGGCACCGGTAGGGTACGCCATAATCATCGCTGCCGTTATCATGCTCCAAGCTCGTGTCTGCGTCCGGATCGATGTCATGCATGCTCTGGAAATAAGTGTCATCGATGCCGGGGGCGCCGTATGCAGTATCGTCATCAAGGTTATTCGTCTCAAGGAAATTTTGAGGGGGTAGGGGCAGAGGAATGCAGAAGATGTGTACGGATACCAGGTGTGGAAGAGCATATAGTGTACGAGAACCCATCCCGATGATGGTGTCCTGGAAATGAGTATCAGCGTCGGCGAAAACGAGAGAAATATAACGCACCTCGCTTGGCCCTCCCCTTACATACCTGATTTGTAACTTGGTTAAATTGGGGAAATGTGCGACGATGGCCAGCATAAGCTCATCATCCCAGTCCCCTACGAACAGCGAAAGCTCTTGCACCATTGACAAATCAGAGTGCACTGCTGCAAATGCTTTGTAAAGTGGCGTAAGCGCAGCCTCATCACGGATGTCGAGTTTAACAATACTACGGCCAGAACTGAGAGAAGTGATGGCAGCGAATGGGGCAGAAATGGCACAGAGAGCTGGAAGAGCGCTTGGCGATAATGAGAGAGCTGGTACGTGGTTTCGCAAGATGAGAGTGCGGAGGGAGGGAAGAGTCTCAAGGAACGGGATGAAACCCAGCGGAACTCTGGGACGGTCTTTCTGGACAGGGAACTTGACGTCGAGAGCAGTAAGCGGGGGAGATGGAGAGGAAGATGTAAAAGCGCGGTGTACCCAGATGGTGTGATCATATGTGAGAGTGCGGAGGGTTGAGGCTTTTGCAAGCAGACGTAGACGGGTACGGGGAAGATTTAAGTCGTCATCATCAGATCGAGAAGTAGCACGAATGTCAAGGAGGGTAAGAGTTTCGATCTTCAAGCAAGTGTGGTCAATATCTGGAGGGGCGCGGACGAAGGGAACGGTGCAGTGCACAACCGCCAAATCACGCAAGTGTGGGAAGTCGTGCACGATCGAGTGGAAATTTCCTGGAAGAATCATACCGCGGAAGACGAGCTGCCTGAGAGATGTAAAGGAAGTCACTTGTGATAGGAGAGTGTTGTAAAGTGTCATATCTGCAACCAGGCTTGGTCGGTAGACATCCTTGGTTTCAGAGAAAAGAGACCTGGTTGACTGGCGATTGTTATTAGTGTTGACAGTAATTGGCTTCAACCCGTCAAAGGAAACAACGGCGACAGCTTCTTGTAGTTGCTCTACGGTCCGTACGAACGGTGAAATACTAAGAAGAAGAGCGTGCGGTGAAGGCTGGATGGAAGATAGTGAGGAGTGCGCCGTTACAAATGATGTCGGGGACGTCAGAATCAAGTGCTTGTAAAGAAGACGAATAGCGACTGCATGAAATTTCTTGGACGTTAAGATAACGTTACGAAGTGACTGTGGAGGCAGATATTCGAAGATTGGAAGCCAGAGTTCATTTGGAAGTGTCATAGACGAAGACACTTTCGACGAAGACGCAGCTGTCGACATTGACGATGACATCCTGATTCCTCATGTACGTACGAGTTACGATAACTTGAAATCACTTGAAGCTCCTTTGTTGATGGACACCAAATAAAGGCACACACTTTTTGAGGTAAGACAATTATATCAAGTAGTAAGTGAACTGCGTGCAGTTACTAGTCATGTTTGACGAGGACAAAGTAAGTAAGCGGATCTGGGTATCGAAATCAGTCTCAGTGCTTGATCATATTAGCCAACTCTTTTGCGACATCTGGAGATATCCCGCAACGCTTCGTGAGATGAGGAACAAGATCCTTACGCGTCAGATGCGAACCCCCTGTAAGTAGCTCCTTTAGCCTGCGCATTAACGAGACGAACAGGTTATGCCCTCCTATCCATGCTTGCTTCTGCCCATCAGCAGCAAAGCGTTTGACGAGCTCACGGATTATGACACGCGATTCTTCATAGTGGTCTGCCATCTGTGTGCCAGCCTGCAGTCCATTAGCGGCAGTGATGCACGCGTGACCAGCGACTTGGATCTGATATCTGTTAAAGTTATTATGTTCCTGGTCCCACCAGTCCTCCATCCTCTGCTCTCTTTCGAGGTTTGTGATCGCAAGGACAACGGGAACCTTCTTCTCGCAGAGGAATTCGTGAAAGAGTCGGTAGTTGCTCTGAAGAGTAGCGGTCACTCTGCCGGCGCGAATGCAGAACAGAAGTAGATCAATGCCGCCTTGCCTGTCCAATTCCTTGACCAGGCGGTAGGCGTTTTCGACAGAAATGAGGTAGTCTTTGATTCCAAGCTGCGGTTCCTCGAGTCCAACGGTATCGAACACCTTATAAGACTCCCCATCGAAGTCGATGGCGTAGTCTTGCCAATGGAGTGTGCAGCTTTTCATGCCAAGAGATGTCTTCGCTACTTCCTTTCCAGCCATGAGGTTCACGACTGAGCTTTTGCCCACTCCGCTCGCTCCAAAAAGTACGATATTCTTTCTAATCATTAATGTTTAGCAAAATACGGCGTAATACGGGTCTGACAATGAAGCACGTACATTGGGCAACACTGTTCGATCAGGTCGCAGACAGCACGGTATGACTGTTCGCGGCGCTGCTTAATCTTATTTGTATCACCTTCATTAATGGTCAACGCGGTAATACACGCGTGACCAGCAAAATTCATCCGGAGGTCTGAGATGGATCTCTCGTTATTCCTCCACCACTCTTCCATTCCCGGTTCTCGTTGTTCCAGTCCCGTAACAATAAGGACGACGGGGACATTTCCCTTGACTTCGGACAATAACTTGTAGTTGCGCCGGAGCGCCGAGGCGTCCTTTGTGCCCTGCACACAGTACATGAGGATATGTATCTTCGGAAGAGTTTGAAAGAGTTTCTTCAAAGCATTCTCAGCTTGTGGATTAGGGACAGTCCCCTGAGAGCCCTCGTCAAGACCTGTAAATTAGTTCAGTGGCGGTAACAAAAAATAGCGGACTGCACTGACCGGCCGTGTCGAACAGTTGTACCTTTATGGTCTTGTTCTGAGTCACAACATCATGCTCGTACACGGTGGTTTGCCTTGTACATCCCTCGGCGTCGGGGGATGTTGGCACCTTCTGCGTCTTGGTAATCAGGTTGACCAAGGAACTTTTGCCAGCGCCCGTTTGTCCAAAAATGATAACATTGCAAGTGTCTTTGCGACGTGAAGCTTCTTCGAATTCAATGTATTTGCAGCCAACTACACTCTGATCTGAGGTGTGGGACTAACTTCGAGTTAGTATTATGCTGAGGAAGAGCGGACAGTACATACGGTCGATGGTCTCGTAGGAGAGGGTGACATTGCAAAGATTGAGGATAATGAAGGGAGCATCTTAACGGTTCTCTTGAGTGCCATCAGTCTTACCCTCGGTCCCTGATCCTCTAGGATGTAACGTGTCCAAGCGCTAAATTCAAAGATCGATCCCAACGTCTGGATTCAGCATGTGCCAAGCATGCAGCAAAAGCTTTGTGATACGTGACGTACTCAGTTTCTGGATACATTAAGGCTAGAGGACCCTGGTTCAACCCTCAGACCTTTAGTCTCCCTCATTGGTAGCCAGATCGGTCAAAGGAACCCGTCAGAACGTGACAAGTCCAGGCGGCAGATTGAAGATTGATCCTGACGCCTAGATACAGCATGCTCAATGCACGTGAGAATGGCAGGGGACAACTGTATGTTTATCTGCACTAGTACAAGCTCCGCACGGTTGAGTGTTGTGCTGAAAACTTTGGTTCCTGGGGGAGTAATCAACTTTGGCCAACCGATTCAGCTGGAACCTGGTTTAGCTAACTTGAACTTGTTGATCCGACCATGTCGATGAGAGGCTTTGACAGCGTGTATTCAGTGGGCAGCGGGCATGTAGTATGATCATAAGTAATATTATCCGTTTTCCAATGTCATTATGTAATTACTAGCACCTCCGACTCGAGTCCAACCCTAATGCCAGATAAATCAAAACCAATACTACTTCGAATTCACGCCTTTATCGTATGCACAGAACATGCTGAATCCAGATGTTGGGATCGATCTTCGAACGTGGTGCCTGGATGCGTGTGCACGCTTCAATGAATCGTAACTGAAGGCAAGACTATCATTGACATTCAAAACACCCACAGCGCAAGCCAAAACGCCTTTTTGTTGTATCCCATTGTTACCATGTCGTCGACTCTGGGGACAGCGTCGTCCACCGAATTAGTATGTGGTGTCTGGCTCTTCCTCAGCATGAAGTTAACTTGAAGTCAGTTTCACACCTTAGATCACAATTCAGCTGGCCACAATTTTCATTCGGTCAATGATGGTGTCGTTACTGGAGAAACAGGCGCTACTACCTCGACCAACTCGACCACCGAGATGAAAATGGTGCCGATGTCCCCTGACGCAGTGTCGTCGTTTTCTGAGGCTGGGAGAACATCGTCCACCGAATCAGTATGTGGTGTCTGGCTATCCCTCAGCATAAAGTTAACAATTGAAATCAGTTTCACACCTCACATCAGAATTCAGTTGGCCACGGTTTTCATTTCGTCGATGATGGTATCATCGCTGGAGAAACAGGCGCTACTAAAAGTTCCTCGACTAACTCCGCCACCGAGATGGAAATGGTGCCGATGTCCCCTGACGCAGTGTCGTCGTTTTCTGAGGCTAGGAGAACATCGCCCACTCAATCAGTATGGGGTGCCTGGCTTTTCCTCAGCATGAAGTTAATTTCAAGTCAGTTTCACACCTTAGGTCAGAATTCAGCTGGCCACAATTTTCATTCGGTCGATGGTGCCATTGCTGGAGAAACAGGCGCTACTAAAAGTTCTTCGGTCAACTCAACCACCGAAATGAAAATAGCGCCGACGTCCCCCGGCGCGATGTCGTCGTGTCCCGAGGTTGGGAGAACATCGTCCACCGAATCCGTATGTGATGTCTGGCTTTTCTTCCATATGAAGTTAACTGGAAGTCAGCTTCATCCGAGTGTAGCTAGCAGAAATTCCCATGCGGTTGACAGTTCCCACTTTGTGATTGTTAGAGAAACAGACACCTTTGGTACTTCTCGGACTGAAAGCTCCACCCAAGCGCGGGTGCTCCTTAAATCATTCACTGTATGTGGTGACTGCTCTTCCCCAGCATGACATTAACTCGAAGTCAGTCCCGCACCCTTGATCAGAGTCCAGTTCGCTGCAAACGCCTTGGACTCAAGGAAGCTTCACGTCGCAAAGACACTTGCAATGTTGTCATTTTTGGACAAACAGGCGCTGGTAAAAGTTCTTTGGTCAACTTGATTACCAAGACGCAGGAAGTGCCCACTTCCTCCGATGCCAAAGGATGCACAAGGCAAACCACCGTGTATGAGCATGATGTTGTGACTCAGAACAAGACCATAAAGGTACAATTGTTTGACACGGCCGGTCAGTGTAGTTCACTCTTTATGGGGTGTCACTGAAATAGATCCTAGGTCTTGATGAGGACTCTGAGGGAACGGTCCCCGACAAGAAAGCTCAGAAGGATCTCAAGAAGCTCCTTAAAACTCTTATGGCGAAAGGGGGCATTCATCTTCTCGTGTACTGCGCGCAGGGCATAAAGAACGTCTCGGCGCTCCAGCACAACTACAAGTTGATTGACTCTGAAGTGAAGAGAGGAGTTCCTGTCGTCCTTGTCGTTGCAGGCCTGGAAGACCGAGAAGCGGAAGAGTGGTGGAGGAACAATGTAACATCCATCTCAGAACTTGGGATGAACTTTTTTGGCCACGCGTGTATTACCACGTTGATCATCAACAAAGATGATACAGATGAGGTCAGGCAGCGCCGCGAACAGTCATGCCGCGCCGTCTGCAACCTTATCGAACAGTGTTGTCCGCAGAATGGGACGGAGGTTCACAGGGTATCTACTATTCCTGCAAGGTACGTACTTCGTCGTCAGATGCTCTTTGCACCGTACTTTACTAAACATTGATAAATTAGGAAGACTAAAAACATCGTACTCTTTGGGGAGGCCGGTGCAGGCAAAAGCTCAGTCGTGAACCTCATGGCAGGAGAGGAGGTAGCAAAGACATCTCTTAGCATACAACGCTGCACGCTTCATTGGCAAGACTATGTCATCGACTTCGAAGGGGACTCTTATAAGGTGTTCGATACCATTGGCATCGAGGAATCTGGACTTGAAAGGAAAGAGTACCTCGCAACAGTCGCAAACGCCTATCGGTTCATCAAGACGTTGGACGCGGAAGGCGGCGTTGACCTGCTTCTGTTCTGCGTTCGTGCCGGCCGAATCACCGCTGCGCTTCAGAGCAATTACAGATTCTTTTATGAATTTCTCTGTGACAAGAAGGTTCCCATTGTTGTCGCAATCACAAACCTCGAAAGGGAGCAGACGATGGAGGACTGGTGGGAGCGAGAACATAGCATCTTCGCTCGATACCAAATTCATGTTACTGGCCATGCGTGCATAACCGCCGCTAATGGATTGGAAGGCATACACCAACGACTTTATGAACAATCGCGTGTCACGATCCGCAACCTTGTCAAGGAGAATATCGCTGTCAAGCACGATCATGTATGGAGAGGAGGAAACAGAGTGTTCGTGTCGTTGGTGCATGCGCTGAATATTCTTGTTAAGAATCCGCATGCGCTGCAGAAGATTCTTGTACAGCATCCGGGTATCAGAAAGAAGATCCTTGCCCGTCAACTGAAGCGTTGCGGTATATCTCGAGAAACCGCAGGTCAGTTGGCCAATATGATCCAGCAAGGGGAAGTGTAGTACTTGACTTGCATCTTCTCTTCTACTTGCAGATCGTCCTTGAAGGATACATAGGCGTTTCTCATTCCCGCTTGTACAGTAAAATCGATTATTTTCTCCCAATTTGAATATGAACGAATAATATTGTTCGGGATGGAGTACACTGTTTTTAGAAATTTGCCGCCACCGACGGTGGGAAATTCACGGCATTCCATCGCCTTCGAAGGTCAGCAAATCGTTTTGGCGGTGACGGATATGGCCCTTTACACTCTCTTCAGCTCGCGCTGAATACACTCAGGGCTACTTAAGGGTCGAAATGTCAGAGATTCAACCCATGATCGCGCCGCAGGAGGACGGCTCTGGTAGTGTACCAGAAACAGTACACGAACCACCACAACCGACGCCCATCACAGACCAAGAGGTGGGAGAGTATCGGGAGCAGGATCGTTTTCTACCCGTGCGCACTATCGTTCATCTGGCTTGATTGGCTTGTTTATCTTTCTAATAGATTGCAAATGTCTCCCGTATCATGAAGCAGTCCGTTCCACACACCGCTAAGATTGCCAAGGATGCCAAGGAGTGCGTTCAGGAATGTGTTTCAGAGTTTATAAGTTTCATTACTTCCGAGGCCGCTGAGAAATGTCAGATGGAGAAGCGGAAAACGATCGGAGGCGAGGATATCCTGTACGCCATGGTGTCTCTAGGGTTTGAGAACTATGCAGAAACACTGAAAATTCATCTGGCAAAACTGAGACAAGTGCGTATTTTTTCCGTCACATGCTTCATGGGTTGTATTAAAACTTGCGTCAGCACCAAGCAGGATCCTCGTCGAACCCGCGACAAGAGCATAGAGAAGATTGATTCTACTTTTTTGTACCTGTACTATTCGTGTACCACCGTATCAACTACTTTCGCAATGCCTATGTTTTGCAGCTCACCTTGCCGCTTTCTATGATGCGATCGCCAATGCCCGGAGTCGACTTGGAAGTTCGAGTGCGCGATGACAGCGTTGCTCAACAACTCACGGTGCTTACTGAGGTGTCTTGAGCCATATTTCCTTAGCACGCTCCCGCCGCGGCTGATAGCAACACATGTACGCATTCCAGACACCATCCAGTACTACGATGTTCCGGGTAAGAATTCGAGATTAGAATCTATCACGGTCAATTCACGATAAGTAAATCACGGGGACTGATGCGAATAACCTCTCGGCAAATTCCGTGCTAAACTCCGACACATCATCTCAACTACACGACCAGCGTCAACGACGTCGACGGACACCCTCAAATAATTCCCCATGACTGTAAGTCGCTGTTCTGTGTATCTGGACCCCTTGATCAAGCATCGTGCCACTTCTGATATTGTTTTCGATGGAAACTGGTCGAGTTTGAGATGGATGGAGGTGCCACATATCCGATGTAGTCAACGCATTGGTGCAACACTCATATCACATGGCACATAGCGAACGATCGTTGTCTCTCGGTGATTGAATTGGATTCTAATAATGCTATTAACTTGTAGGACTCGACTTTCAAACGTTTCGTAGAGGTTGGACGAGGTACGATGTTTATGACTTGTGCTACACTGAACGAGCTAAAGCTAACGTATCGACAGTGGTCCTTCTCAAGTCTGGCCCATCTGCAGGCAAGATCGCTGTCATTGCTGAGATCATAGACCATAACCGGGTGTGTACAATGATATCGTATGCAAGAATGATCAGCTGATCTCACACCGTCCTGCCAATGTTTAGGCAATCATTGACGGCCCAACCACCGGCGTACCGCGCCAATCCTTCCCCTACCGCCACCTCACCCTCACCCCTATTGCTCTAACAAAACTTCCTCGCGGCGCAGGGTCTGGTGTTATCCGGAAGCAAGTGGAAAAGGAGGGAATCGTTGCTAAGTGGGAATCCTCAACATGGGCCAAGAAGCGTGCTGCCATGGAGAAGAGACGATCACTGAACGACTTTGAGCGGTTCAGCGTGATGGTCGTAAAGAAGCAGCGGAGAGACGTCGTCAGGAAGACCCTGGCCAAGGCTGCATAGAGGATGTATGCATACAAAATATTGGACATCTTGGTAGGATGTCGCGTCGCTGCATGATCCACATTTCTCTTACATCTGTTATGCCTACCATGATATATGCATGCGCTATTCCCGCATTATATTGCTGACTATTCGCCTCGAAGTAAGATGTGTCATTCTCAACTAGTCGGCTTGTCCTGGGCTTGAGTGAAACCCCTTTTTGCTCTTTCGACCGTTGCTTCTGCCTCCACCTCTACTAGAGCAGCTGATGCCCAGCTATGAAACCCCCCCTTGTCAAACGCTTCTCTAAGGCGGTCCTCTGCTTCTTGCCAATTCCATCCCACAGGTTCAGAAGCAGGGTTTTCTGTTAGCGTAGAATCATTACCATCATCTTGGTGAGTTTCAGCTGGACGATATATTTGATATGCGAGGACGGGTAATTTAGTTAGCACCGCATGGCGCATACGTTCCGCAAACTCGTTGGCCTAAGCATTAGAAAAAGTTGCTTGAGTTCCAGAAAGAATAGTCATGACATTGCAAGGGCGCACATCACGAGCATTGAGAGTTTTCATTACTCCCCAAATAGAGGCTGTGGCACCCAGCGTCACAAGAGCAGTAGCGATGCTAAGGGCTTTGAGGGTGTACAGAGGACCGTTGAAAAATTGTTCAGGGTTATCTTCATTTGATACAGATGTTTTAGGAGGCGGCAGACGAGTCGAAACCTCCCTTGGTACCGTTTGTGAGGCAGGACGGGGTCGTATTGCAGGGGAATGCAATGAAACAGGCAGCATTGATGATCCTCGCCCTCGCCGAGGAGGTGGAGTAGCTTCCTGAAGGTTCCGGGGAGTAACACCACGCCTATATCGTCGTAGCATGATGATCGGCACTACAAGGGCTACGGATGAAAAGGCCAGCTGTGGTACATATGAACTGCCAGTCCATACAATGATTCATTGAATCGGACCGGGCAACTCACCAAGGTCACCGGAACCCATTTCGGAACTTGGTGTTTAGTTCCAAAGATACCTGTCCGTAGACCAGTAAAACCGTCTTCCTTTGCATCGTCGGAAGACGTTGTTTGTCGCGTCATTCGCGCTACTAAAATGTCGCCAAGCACCGAGAGGAAGTGTAAAGAAAAGAATCACGTGGTGTCGACACATATGTGCTTGATCTACTGAATACTACGGGTACATCCTAATTTGCTCCGAATTATTGCTTTGGCCAAACGCAAACGCTCGTGTTGATTGCCATCCGCGACAGTAAGTGGCGATCACTTGTAAGTACTCATGGTAGCATTCACGCACAGTTGCTAAGTCACATTTTGATTTCGACCGCACTGTATCATAGCACCCATCGGCATATCGTCTTTGGTTTGGCTCGTCGCCGGTGGCTCGACGCACCATGTCTGACCCACGATTTGCGCGGTTGAAGACTGACCCCCGTTTTCGACGTCCCAAGAAACACAATTCAAAAGTTGTAGTTGACGAGCGTTTCAAAGAAATTTTTGATGAAGACAAGGCGGGAAAGAAGAAATTGAAACAAAAAGGCAAAGGAAAGGACAAACCAGGTGCGCCTCAAACTTCATTTTCTACTACTTCTCACCTCGTGTCGTCGTTACAGGTCGAGTGGATAAATTTGGTCGACAAATTTCTGAAACTCATGAAAAAGACAACCTCAGGCGGTTTTATCGGCTGGAACACGAGGAACACGAAGAGGCAGAGGCTCCAACTTCCACAATACCTGACTATGCTCGTGGTGGCGTTCTCATGGAGTCCTCCGAATCCGAGGCGGAGAGTGAGGATGCAGGTGACTCTGGCGGCGAGAGCGATGGCCCTGGATTTGTCACATTAGGCAGAGACCTTAATGAAGAAGGCGAGATCGATCTTGATGAGAGCATATTTGCCGATCTGGATGCACAGGCTGCTGCATATGCGAGGACAGCCCCGGAGGACAACAGTGAAGAAGCGATGGAGAAGACCAGAAGACTAGCTGTTGTTAATCTTGATTGGGACCATGTCCGTGCAGCGCATCTTTACAAAATATTCTCGTCACTTGTTTCGCCAGCCGCGCCTGCTACCCTTCCGGCGCCTGTGCCAATGCAACCTAAGGATGAAAAGTCTTTCGAGAACACGAAAAGCGCAAAGGCGACGGTCGCAAGAGGAAAGGTACTGAGCGTCCGCGTCTATCCAAGTGAGTTTGGGAAAGAGCGCATCACAAGAGAGGAGAAGGAGGGACCGCCTGTAGAGGTATTCAAAAAGAAGCTAGAAAAAGAAGAGGATGTCAATGAACGCACGATTCACGAAACCGGAGACGGAGCGGACTACGACGAAGATGCTTTGAGAAAGTATCAGTTGGAGAGATTACGGTGCGTTACCTCCTTACATATTTCTAGCGCAGTGTTCAATGAAATGTTCGAAGGTATTATTACGCAATTGTTGAATGTGATACCGCCGAAGCTGCTGTGCACATCTACAACGAACTTGAAGGTACTGAGCTTGAGCGTTCAGCAAATGTGTTCGATCTCAGTTTTGTGCCCGATGAGATGGCATTTGATGAAGAATATCGGTGAGTCCCTTTGGACATTATTTGTGGATATTCCTCTAACCGGAGCCATGTACAGCGATGAGGCGACAGATGATCCTGGAACACGTTATCGAGCAGTAGAGTTCGTGACAGATGTAGGAGAATTTCATCGTTATCATTTTTTTTATACCCATTTTGCACTTTCAGGCTCTCCGTCATTCAAAAGTCAAGCTCACGTGGGATGACGATGATCCGGAGCGCAATCACATTACTAGACGATCACTATCCAAAAAAGAGATCGAAGAAGCCGACTTCAAGGCGTATATCGCATCGTCATCATCATCTGAATCCGATAATGATCCAGATTCTGTATCGAGGAGGAGGAGTAAGAAGAACACCCAGAGAGACAAGCTTCGCACTCTGCTTCTTGCCGGAGACGACGACGAACTTCCAGAAGGGTGGGGCCGGGATGACGACGCAGGAAAACATGATGATGTTGACATGGAGATCACGTTCGCCCCTGGTCTCACAGAGGCCAAAAATCTTGAAGACGAAACGACAGTGGAGGCATATCGAAGAAAAATGAGGGAGAAGCGTAAAAAAAGAAAGGAAGAGGTTAAAGTAAAAGCTACGACAGTCACGAATAACGAAGGTGAAGGGCGGCCTGGGAAAACAGTCTCGTTCGATGACGACTTCTTCGAGGGCATAAGTGGCAGTGGCAGTGAAGGAGAATCCGAGGCAGAGAATGCATCGGGGTCGGCGAAGCGAGTGTCAAGACGGGAGGTTGACAAGCCAGTGCCACGCGAGGAGACGAGGTCAGACGTCAAAGTGGAGAAGAACGGCAAAAAGAAAAGGGGAAAAAAGAAAGTGATCGATGATGATGAAGTCCAGGACGACTTCATTATCGACGTTAAAGATGATCGGTTCAAGGCAATCCACGAGGATTATCAATTCGCCATCGATCCCAGCAATCCCCGGTCAGTACCTGTTCTTTACGTTACCAATGACGCTGATGTGTTCACAGCTTCAAAAAGACGAAAAGTATGGTGGCACTTATTGACGAACGAACTAAGCGCCAAAAAGGGAGTCTACCTGAAGATGAGACAGGCGCACGACTCCCCGCGAGGGTGGATGACACTAGCCTCAAGAACCTCGTTGAGAGCGTCAAACGGAAAAGTGCAGCGGCTGGTCAGGGTGGATTTGGGAAGCGGCGTAAGCTATAACCTCAATTTTTTCTATGTTTGTCCTCAGTTTGTCGGTGAGACATACGACGAATACTCAGCGTCATCATACTTATTTTCGTGGTTACATAGGCATGAAAATCTTCATGGACCAGGGATACCGATTGCGAGTAAAGCCGAATCAACGACGATAGCATTATTACAGCCAGGTTTTTGGTGTCAGAGCAGACGGCGAAGTGCACTTGGTTGAATGGCGTTCAAGTTTGCGTTCGGTCTTGACTAGCCCTATGAGTAGTCAAACCAAACACGTCTCGAGATGTAAGATATATATGAGTACGGAATACATGCGCGCCAGTGCCATCATAGGCTTCTAAGTAGATACAAGCTAACACTGATTGTTTAAAATTATATATACATGTACTCATCAGAATTGACGGTCTCCTGCAGAGTCATAAATCTAACTATTCTAAATGTCTATAGTCACCACCATCTACTCATCGACTGTCTCTCTCAGCTTGTGTATTTACCCAAATCCCTCTTCTCCACCAAGCTCTACCACGTCCCAGCCATCTTCCTCTTCTACGATACGTTCACTCCTCATATTACTGATGCCAGCTTCTTGCGCTGAACGTCCTGGCCGTATTCGTGCTGCCCGAGCAGGACTAGCAGCAGTGGCTTGAAGGACCTGGGCAAAGTCGAGCGTGAACGAGGGAGGGGTTGGAGGTAAGAGGAGCGGAGTGGTAGAGTGCGACCGACTATAATGGGAGATTAACATAAGAACGTGTATTTCGGATAACAGAATGAATAAACGACGAAGCAAGAATAAGGCACCGGAGACTCACCGCCCAAGCTCGCCGCTGCAACATACAGCCCACAAATTACTCAATGCATCGCCCGCCTGCGACAAGGGAATCTCGACACCTTGGCTATGAGCGAGATAACACACGTTGTAGAGAAGCATCGCAAGGCCGGTCGTGAATGATTGGTTTTGGCCATGTGCTAGTACCTGTTCTGGAGCTTCTGAGTCAGCTAGTGAGACGGGTAGCGTAGGGGATGGCGAGGAAGAGGGAGAAGAGGGAGTAGAAGAAGGATTTGATGTGAGGTGCAGAGGGTGTTTGGCTGTCCATCTATCCGTAGGAGGAGATAATGATGAGTGAAAAATTCAAGCCGTAAATACAGTAAGTGACGCACTTTGCCCAGGATTCAGTCCCTCGCCCTGCTCCGATCCAAGGCATACCGACACCGAATCTTCTGCAAGACCACGAAACTTCAAAAGGGAGTTTGATGCCTAGGTAGAAAGTAAGAAGTCCCAGAAAGTGAATGGTCTGTGTTATCACGGCGTTGATGTGATCCGGTGGATATCCTATGATATGTCCCATGTGATCAGATTCTTGGCATAGTGAGTAGTTGTAACTTACGTCTAACATCTCCCGGTACTGG